CTGCCTCAGTGCTTTAAAAGGTTTCTCTACGTACGTAGCTTAATATTCGTCTTTTCGTAACTCTGCGACAGGGCATAAAGTCCGCCTACATATGGCCTACGTGAATAAAATATTTCAAAACAAAGATCCTCCTTCTGAAGGGTATGTTTAGTATTTTGAAAGCTTACGGCAGCTTTAAAAACGAAGCGTATTATCACGTGAGTTTCATACAGACAGGGAATATGGGTATAAACATGAAAGATTTCTGCTTGAATTTTGTTTCTTGACTGACAAATACAGTTGAACTTCAGACAACGCGGGATTAAATTGGGCGGGTTATCTAGTATGCGAAGTTTTTTTCCTTTTCTTTTTAGCCCAGAGGGGCTACTAATTTCGTTTTGGCATTTCGTGTCGAAAGCTATAAAAGGCTGAGTCACTTTTCGTTGTTGTTGTTGTTGCCACCCAATATTATCGCCCTGTATTACATTTAAAGAAATTATAAAGAATCTGCATAAATGTATCTATATTTCTCGCATTGTGATAAAACAACGGTATCTAGAGCCATCAAGTTAACAACGTCCATCTCCACCCGAATATGGGCATCTAGAAGCTCCATATGGAAAAATGGCACACTTAACAGCCAACAAATTTTGAACACATGCAGTACTCCACCCACACATGTGCACCTCAAAGATCAAATTTTTAATTTAAAATTTGTTTTTTATTTATTTCATATTTTGTGTCAATTTAATGCATTTTTTATTGACAAAATCAATATTTTGAAATCAAAATGCTGGTGAAGTGTGAAATATTTATGTTTCAAATTTAATTTGAAAACTCCCTGGTTTAGCAGAAATGTGTTGATATTACTGGAAATAAAATATTTTTAATCATCCCTATGAGAATGTTTTACACTTCAGCAAAGCATAAAATGCTTAATTTTCCTTTTAAATTTAATCTACCTGTTACTTATTAACAAACTAGGTGATTTAAAAGCAATAAATTTCTATTACAACTAATCACTTTTTATCCATATTATTCTTAATCACTCTCTGGATGCCTAAAAGTTATTATCTATCTTTAATATTTTTTATAATTATTTCAGGCAACTAGCTGTAGACAAAAAGCATTTTTTCCCACAGTTTTATGTACCAATGGCATTAAAAATCATTACTTCATTCAGTTATACATAGAATGTATGTGGCATAATCTGAATGCGCATCATAGTATCCATACTAATACAAGTGGCCTGTTAAGCTAATATATGTTGTGTGTATTTGAATACAAAATTTTATTAGATGTCATGTTGTATACAAAATTATGAATGAACAATATAGATGATATTTTTGAAAAAAGAAAGTGCAATACCTAAAACTGAATGATAATCAGAGGCCTAAATTAACAAGCAGAAGAATGATTTGTCACGGCACATACTTCTCAAACAATGAGATTTTCAGAAATAGAATCGACAGGAATTAATAATTTCAAATAAGATAAAATTTAATTATTTGCCTTCAAATGTAATGCGAAACATTTAAATTTAATCACAAACATTGAGAGATTATTTATTTTCTTACTGAAACTATATTTTAAATATAATTTATATAATATACCTATTAACATTTCCTGCTTCCAAAAATCTAATAAGCATTTTAAACAGTCTAAACTTGCAGTTCTCAACCTTTTTACTAACGCATACCATCTAAACAAAAATTGAAAATTTAGTACCACCACTACAAAATACTACTACCAACACCACTCCTGAACAAAGCTCACATCGCATAAATGTACGAGTGTTAGAGAAAAAAACTCAATCAGGATATTAGGGTTTTAATTTTTGAATTTAATAGTAAAAATTATTTGCTACTTTGCATACCTATTTTTCTCTTGTATACCATTAGTGGTACGCATACCACCGGTTGAGAACCCCTGGTCTAAATTAATAATGTTAATCTGAAAATAAAAAGATAGGCCACAATCCCTCATTTCTGACTCAGCCCCATACTATTAAGGCAAAAACTATACTTAAACCTGAATTTATAATAAATAAATAAAAGAGCAGAAGTTTTATATCTAAATGAATAAAACAATGTCTGGGCATAATGTAACATAAAATATACATGTAAATTAAGATTTAAGTAATCCCTTCAATTTTCTCAAGTTACTTATCTTAAAGACAGATCAAGGAGAATTACAAACTTTGATAATGTGCTGCTTTCGATGATGGGCACTGTGTACGTCTAGAGATGTTGGCACACTTCCCCGACGTTTAGGAACATTTGGAATATCATCTTGAATAGTCTGCAACCACAAAATTTTACCTTTTAGAAGTAAACTAGACAAAAATAAAATACATTTAGAAATGTACAATTCTAAATATAATCTGCAATGTGGTTTGGACATTTAAAGCACCAACATTTTCATGTAATCTACATGACTTTGGATCACAAGTTTACAGCAGTTACATTTTCACAAAAGCAGATAAGTTTTTTTTTTTTTTTACAAAAGATACATTGATTTCATGAAATCAGAGAGCAAGGATAAAGTAATACTAAAAAGCAAATAACTGATAAAAGATATCAATGGGATTTGATAAAATAAAAGAATTAAATGATCTGTTTCATTAACGGCATAAAAATATTTTACACAGAACGCCCTCCCCCATACAGAAAATTGCCCCAAAATAAGGTGCAAAATATAAAAAAGTGAAGCCCTTCACCACCTTTTAGTTGGTGATGCTCCATGTTGTTTTAATATAGCTAATAAGCTCAGCAGGAAGTAATGAATATTGATCGTTAAACGGAGTTATAAGTGTTTCTTAAATTTCAGGCTGGCAGTAGTAAGTCTTCACTGATTAACTTATTCAATTCAGTCAGATTTAGGCTAAGAGTTTGAATTCAAAGTGCATACATACACCGTGCTTTACACAGACAGTATAATCCTGTTAGTCAGTTCTTACTACCTTATAACATAAAATGTTTCATTATCTAGCTGTGCTTTGTTAGGAAAACCAAGACTCATGATGATCATAGGCTTTCAGTGGTCTCCAGTCCAGTTTCCATGCTCACATGTACAATTCATTCGTATTTTTTTTCTTCTAGACTTAACGTGGAAGATATGTAAGTTACAGTCCGCTTCTTTGGATAAAGATATCTTTCAAAAAGCCTTCCAAGCACTTCCAAGTTAATATAATATTCCTAGTAGCTGTTGCAAGGAAGGATATTCTAAGATGGTGAAACATTTTGTTTTTTCATCAAGTTAATTTTAGATAACGGTCTTGTACAGCAGTTGTAAGCCGAAGCCTTCTCTATGTGAACCCCCAGGAGGTAAAATTACAGTTGTAAAAATAATTTTATGCTACATGGATTTCTAAAGGATGTATATTTGATCAATTTTCTCTATCTGACTGACTCTGCTGTGTTTCACAGTGGCTACAGAATCTGATACCACAGTTCACCTAATAAATAAGGTCTTGAGTCCACTTAAATGCATATATTCCTAAGCTGCAGTTATTTAAAATGATGTCTAAAGCATATATTCTTATGCTGCAATTATTTAAAATGATGTCGCTAAGACTACTTGTTAGAAGGCAAGCTGACTCAACATTTTTATCACTTATATAACCAAATTGGTAATGACGGTCTTATTTTTTTTTTACCATATTATAGTGGTATTTTGATTCTTTTTTAATTTATGGAAACCAATACACAAATGCATTATTTATCCACTATAAAAAAGAGCACATTATCATGCTAAAATTTTGGCTCTTTTGAGATGTGTACAGGAAATACGTCCTTCTTTAACATACATTCAACACAATATTTTGAAAATTTAAAATGTTATAAGCAAATAAATCTTTAGCAAATACCAAGAAGCATTACCTATGCACTTCATAATATAGTGACACAAATTTGAAGTTTTTTAGTTTATTATTTAATTTGCAGCTTATTTCTCACAATTATAATTGATCCATGATTCTCTGTTTTTTAATATAACCCCATTACATAGCATTTCATTTTAGATCAAGTATTATCAAAAGTTTAAGTACTAAGAAAATAAAAGTGTTTACCATCTGATTATGAATATCATGTATTCGTGAGCGAATGTCTTTGTATGCTTTTTTGCTTGTATCTTTCACCTGGAAAATTAAAACACAAATTCTCAAAAACTCAAATATATTTTATATAATGTTGCTGAACTTAAATTAGTAATAATTCTTTTTTTATTATATTTAAGTATGTATTAAAGGAACTGTTAAGCAATATACACTCATGTACAAGATTATCTTTACATGCATGAAATCATGGATTTCTCACAAACTATAAACTATAATTTTATGAATTTGTGTGAAATGATGTATAATATTATAACACATATCTATAAAGGGAAAAAATTAAGGGAATTGCATATAATATAAGACCATAACATGAAACAATAAAATGTTATAAAAAGAGTTCAGATGGAGGGGGGGAAGGATAACTCAGAGAATATCAAGGCTTATGAATTTGATATGAAATACGATCTCTTGACTTGTACACATGTCATAACCTGCTTGCATGTTGGCAATAATGCTGTTAACCATAGTTTGGGGAATTAGGTTCCATGCCTCCACCAGTGTGGTCATATGAGGATTTACATCTTTATGAAGAAAACGTCTTTCTGCAACTGATTTTACAAGGTAGTCCCATAATGCTCTATTGGCTTAAAATCAGAAGATTTTTCTGACAATAGGTATTTACTCAATATCTTCAATTTCAATCACTATCGCTTGTAAATAAAAATTGAGATCCACATGCACTTTTGAAAAGTCTTAGGTAAGGTTCTAAGACCTCATTCTGATATTACTGGCTGGTCACAGATCTACTGCTAAAAACATGTAGGGGCATATGATCATCGAACATTAGTCCTCTCCATACCTTCTCATCTGCAGTACCAAAACTGTCAAGTTTTATAAAGTTTGAATGAAGATTCAAACTGGCACCCTCCAGATGTAAATACGTTTAGAATCAGATGTTAGACTAAACCTTGACTCATAAAAAAAGAGAATACTGGACCATTGGTATTCACTCCAGTTCTGTAAATTCTTTGCACCAATTAAAACAATCTCTCTTTTATTCTGAAGACAATGAATACATGTTAAAATTAACAAAACAATTATGCTTTATATCCATCCATGGCTTTCCGACATAAAAATCTTTTCAACACAGTCTGCCATGATACAACACTTCCAGTGTCGGTTGAAAGCTCTGAACTCAACTGTCAAGAATTAGACTTTCCATTATAATGGGCAATTATCAGTTATTGATCTTGAGCAGCAGCTGTTATTTGTTTACAACATTCTCCAGTTCTCTGTTTTCATATCAGAGACTATCTCTCTTGAAACTTTCACACATCTCATTGCTTCAATAATTGCCTGTCCTGTTTCTGATACTTTGAAGCCATAACAAATTGTTTGGTTCCACAATTTCTTATACACTTCAGTTAAACACAGAAATCCACTCAGATATTTACTTTGTGCAAAGTATATTCACCGCAATGCTTTGATTTCCACATCAGAAACCATTTGATCACTTTTGATTGGATAATGCATATTAGGCATATTTTTCACATATTCCTGGCAAAAATGGATTATATTAATTGGATATTTCATGGAACATGATGATGATTTTCAAGTACATACAGATAAATTTGGACATAAGTACATATGTATTTATATTCAGATGCACACACACACATGCTCTCTCTTTTATGTAGACAACTTTTTTTTAGATCAGTATTACCTATGACATAAATAAACACTGATACTGAACATCAGCTCATTAAAGTACATTCACAGGAGATCAAAATCCTCTGGAATTATAGGTAGCCATTTAAGGTGATTTCACAGTAATTTTCATAACTTTAATCAGGGTTGCTACTCAAATAGGAGAATGAAATTCCCTGACTTTTCCAGATGTGTTTTAAGAAAATTCCAGTCTATCCGGGTAATGCATGTTGGCTGTGCTAAGAGGTAAATTAATTATGGTACCACTTGAAAACACAAAAATTTGCCAATTACAAATGACTTATATATCTATATATATATAAAAGAATCCCCAAAGCATTACTATTATAACTATAATAGGAGTTGTTTTCTCCTCCGAAGCTTGAGCTTAGAAGCTGCCCAATCTGGATTAAAAAAATGTCTTTTTTTGCAGCTAAACGAAAGAAATCTGTTTAACGATACTTTTAAATAACGTCAGGTATTTTACATTTATTTAGCAGGATACACAAACAAAAAAAATATGTGCATTACATTTCATTATGGTATGTCATAATACTGCTAGAATATATATTCAGATACACACATGACAGTTTCAGGATTATGTCAAAGAAAATTTCCTGAAATTTGAAAGCATTATTACTACTAAAAAATAAATTTAGAGGGAAGAAACAACATTAAATGATATTAATAACATTAAAATGAAGACAATTACTTAAAAATTGAATAAGAATAATCAACAATATTTTAGTGAATATAATTATTTCAAATGGTTAACCTAGGTGATTTATTATTATTATTTTTTTTTTTTTTTTTGTTTGTTTACCTTCAAAATGAGAAATAAGGAATTTATTTTTTAAAAAAGTTTAAAAGATTTTGCGGTAAAATCCTCGTATAATGCCACAGCCTTGGTACGATTTTGAAAATTGTCGCCCAAAATGACACATATACTGCTCATCATAATGTCGACAAATCCCATTTGTACAGTACATGGAAGTTAAAATAGAATAAATGGAGACTATTTTAACTTCCATGGTACTGTGTAATGGGATTAAGCAGATTTTGTTTTATACGATAATACGTATTTTCTTTAGTTCAACATGCACTGCACATGTGCGTGCGAGTCTTTCGATTCTTGAGGTTACTGGAAACCAAAATTGCTAAAAACTTGCTTTGCCTTTCTAAAAGACAATCTAATTGAAGCTGCAAAAATTGGCTCTATGCCAGCTGGCCGAATGACGCTTACACGATACATAATTCGCCGTCATCACTTCCGTCGACACAAAACTCGCTTTTTCTTGGGATTGTCTTATGAAATTTCCTGACTTTTCTACACTTTTACTAAAATATTTAAATTCCCTGACCTTTTAGTCAATTTTTGAATTCCTTGACTTTTTCCGGTTTTCCCGGTAGCGTGGCAACCTTGTTTAATGAATAATTTCATAACCAAATTTAATGAATATTGTTAAATTACCTTAGTTTTCACATGCTTAAAGAATGCTCCCCCTTCTTTCTGGAAAATAAAGAAGTACTGTTAAAATAAAATACAATACAGTCAAAATAATCTAATAAAATTTATTATGCTAATAGCTGCTCTACAATTTATTTCTTTTATTTAGCTAACTAATTATAAAAGCTTTAAAAAAACTGGTTTATTGTAAATAAACATGAAACAAATTTCCTAATCCTGTCGAAAAGAAATCAAAATACACTGACTACCAATAAGTATTTGGACACCTGTGATAGAATAGAAAAACTAACTTTATTCAAAATCAATAGTTGGTAGAGCCTCTACGAGAGGTAATTACAGCGTGGACCCTGCGCGGCATACTTTCCAGTATGACAGCTAGTGGTATTTTCTTCCACTCGGCTTGGAGAAGACATAGAAGTTTCTTCACCGATTTTGCACGGGTAGTGCACCCCTGAATTCGGCGATGCAACTCGTCACAGAGGTTCTGGATAGGGTTCAGGTCTGGACTTTGGGTAGGCCAGTCTATTCGATGAACTCCATTGGCACCATACCAAGCCTTGGTTAACGTCGAAACATGACAACTGGCATTGTCGTCCTGAAAGTAACAGGGGTCCAACCCGTAAAACTGTCACAACGTAGGAAGCACATTGTCATCCAAAATAGTGCAGTAGGCATCGGAGTTGAGCTTACCATGAATGGGGACCAAGGGACCCAGCTCAAACCAGGAGAAACATCCCCAGACCATAATTCCACCTCCGCCAAACTTGACTGTTGGCACAATGCATTCTGGCAGGAGACGTTCTCCAGGTAGATGCCAGACCCAGACCCTGCCATCCGAACGGTAGAGGGCGAACCTTGTTCGTCACTCCAAAGAACCCGCTTCCACTGATCTTCGGTCCAATTTCGATGTGCTTTGCACCACATTAACCAAGCAGCGCGGTTGGACTTTGTGATCAAAGGCTTATGGGCAGCAGCATGACCATGAAAACCAAGCAGATGTCCTTCCTTACGGATGGTATTTATTGAAACAATACTCCCGGATGCCTGTTGAAACTCCTCGCAGATGAGAGCCATCGGTTGGGCGGGGTTCTTACAAATTTCTCTAGATAGCACTCGTCGGTCTCTATCTCCCAGTTTCGTTGGTCTGCCGACTCGAGGCACATTCCGACAATCACCGCTCACCTTTCACTTCTTAATTACATAGGCCACTGTCGATTTTGGATACTTCAGATCGCTAGATATGTCCCTTAAGGATCGGCCATATTTGTGATACCCGATAGTTATACCTTTCTCGAAATCAGAGAGCTTCGAACTGCAAGGCATCTTGCATGTGACTAAAGCCGATGCCGTTTCCTACACGATATATAACGGCGGAGTCCGTGACGTACCTTAGGACTGCAGATATCGTCATTTGCATAGGTGTCTCAATACTTATTGGTAGTCAGAGTATTATCCCATACTTAATGAACTGATATATAATTTTAAAAATCTGTTGTAACTGATTATTTAATTTAGGGGGGAATCAGGACCCTCTTATTATGTGCATTTGTGGTTTCAGCAATCAATAGAACTGCTGCATTTTGAATGCTTATATTATTTGAATATGGCAAAGAACACAAGCGCCTAAGCAAACACTATCTAAGGGGAAGAATGCTTCCGTGAAAGACTCTAAAGCCAACAGATTACATTTTATATGTGGAAAACCACAAAACCCAAACATGCCCATCAGTTGGACTAGGTTTGAATTTAACGTCGAACTACCAGTATTCAGTGATATTAACCACTTGGGTACTGATCAGGCTGTATTCTACTACTTAGGCTATTTATAAGGCTGCACAAAAATATGTATAATTTTAGTACTACACGAGACAATATTGAATCCAAGCATGCACATACCAATATATGTCTAAGTACCAATGGATTTAAATGCTTTACATTTAATTTTGTTTAATACGCTGTGAGCATGCAAATAATAGCCATATAGATTTTTGAAATTTCTCATAAAATTCTTTGTTTTTTGTTGCTTTTTATTATTATTATTTACAGGCAAAATATTATGTTTCTATATAAGCTAACCAAACAAATGTTCTTTTGCCAATTCAGAAAGTTGCCAATGAGTGGGTGTAGATCATCAGAAAGTACTAAAATTTTATAGTGACATACTTGATTTTCAGTCTGTCAGGTTTGTATATTCATTCAAAGCTTTGACAAATTGAAAATTTATTTTAGCAATTAAACAGTTAACAGCAGAATGCCAAAAATGTGCAAATACTTTCAATTAAGATATGCTAAAAATATAAACGTAAAATATATTAAATACAAAAACTAAAAGCATAGCATTTAAATTCCTTTTGATGGCATATTTTTTTAACACTTTCAGAATGTTTTGCTTGAATTACTATGCCCATATGAAATTTCTACAGAATTACAATATCAATTTGCCAAAATAACTTCAGGCAGCTTACAAATAATTTAATTCATTGGAACTACTTACTACACCTTTCGGGTGAATAATTAAAGATTTTTTTTATTAACCCTTTGAGCGGTCACGGTTTTTGCTAAGAAAGCAAAAATTTCCCAAAACTACTATGAGAACAAATTATTTTTTTGATTTTAATGTAAACACACTGCTGGTATTTCCTACCATTCCTACCTGGATTTCTGTACTTTTGATATATTGCCTTAATTTCTTTGACATATTTTAATATGCACATATATATATATATACGTTCTTACAGATACCATAAAAAATATTCTAGTTAAAATAATATAAAAACAAAGAAAAGCATCACTACATTATTTTACAAAATATTACTATTGTATTATTAAAAAAAATCATTAATTGCAGACTGCTTTTACTGGAGGCATGAAAGAAATTACAACTTTAATTCTACATTATTTTGAATTTATAAAATCTTAGAAAGGGAATTACTATTTGAGTACTTCACCAACAGAAGCTTCTTCAACCCAACTGAAGGCACATTGATAGCAGAAAACAATTAAAGTTTTAGAAGATTAAGATAAATGAAAGGAAGAACAAAAGCTTTGAATAGAACAGAATGCTAAATTTTAAACTAAGAACACATTAGAAATTGGAAAATGTATCATAAATCTAAGAATTATGATATTTAAAAACTTAAGAATCTTTACTTAATCCTTTGATGGTCATAAACAAAATCAGCTTGCCTACAAATTACATGACAAAAGTGGCAGGAACTAGTTGAGAGCTGGTATTAACGATACCTGTTATTAATCCTCTCACTGCGTACTTTTTTTATCAAAATAGGTTCTAAAATTGCGCATTTTTTTTATTACATCCCCCATTGCACAAAACATCCTCAGGATGTCCAATTTAAGTCGCAATATCCCGGGACATACTTAGGATGTCCTGAGTATGTTGATTCTCAGATGTCCTGAGGACATCGTAATTTAACATCCTGACGATGTCTTATTTAAGTCGCTATGTCCCGGGATATGAGAGAATGTCCTGAGGATGTTGATACTCAGATGTCCTGAGGACACCAATTTCACATCCTGAGGACAATCATACTGCATTATTCAGAGGACTTCGGTTGTCAAACATTCTGAGGATATTTGTTCTCAAATTTACCAGTTTTAGTTTTTTGACATTGCACATTATTTAATTTTCATATGTATTTTTATTAAGTTGTTTCTAAATGCTGTACACTAAAAATATTGATATGATTGATAATTTATTCTTGTTACTTTGTTATTAATTTTAACTGCTATTTTTTCTGACATTTCAAAATTATTTAGTCATGAAAAGATTTTTTCAATGGATTAGCATTTTCTAGAATATTTGCTAAATTCCAAATAACATATATATTTTTATAAGAAATGTATAAATTACATGTATAATTACTTACAGATTACAAACCCTACTATAAATACAGGTAAGAATTTTTTTTTTTTTTTTTTTTAATTAGGGTGTAGAGAGACATTACGTATTTTTTTGGAAGCACAAAAGATGAAAAATTAGTAACTGCCTTCGCCGTGAATCGAACCATGGACCTCTGGAATACCGGCCCAGAGTGCAGAACCACTACACTACAAAGGCACGCTAGGAAAGCGGGAGAAATACCTTATATTACTCCCCTTTTTAAAGAGCGACTTTTCTTTAAAGGGGGACCCAATCGCTAAATTCTGGGTGTGTATATATATATCTTCCAACACCCTTTTAGTTCGGATGTCACAGTAGAGACATTAAGATTTTTTTGGAGTGCCGGATAGATGAAAAATTAGCAACTGCCTTCGCTGGGAATCGAACCACGGACCTCTGAATTACCGGCCCAGCGGGCACAACCACTACACCACAAAGGCACTCTAGAAAAGCGGGAGAAATACCTTATAAGGGAAAAAATAAAATTTTTCTCCTAATTACAGGACTGAAAATGTTTTTCAATCGCGCGATCTGTTATTGATATTGAACTACAGTCGTGCGATAATTTTACAGTAAAAATAATTCTCTGATGACTATCCAAGATTCTAGAAGCTTTGGTCTTAGAGAAATAATGCTTAATATCAATATTTATTTATAATCTTAGAACTATTGGTCACATTCAGAAGTGGTCATTTGAGAGGCGATATTCTATATATTTATTTACTGATACTCTCAGATTCAAAAATTTGTTTATATTCTCAGAAATTTTGGATAGAAGGTGGTCGTCACATATATGCAAAATTTTACATTTCATTAAAAATGAATTCATTATTTAACTATTTCCCTATTAATTAATTAGATAAAAAAAATTATGAAATAGTACTGTTTATTATGGAATAATGTAGGAAGTTCTGCAGAACTACATTCTTTCGCGTCATTGCACATTGTATCCGGCAAACTACTAGTTCCTCATATTCTTCCGCAAATCCGTAAACGTCTGTCTGATTTGAAACGAAATCCAAAATGGGTGCGCCATGAGGTTTACTTTGTATGGATATTTTTTGTTGCATGAAAGTTAAGTTCAGTTGCAATACTTGTATGTTTACTGTTTTTGCTTTTTGAATTTATGTTATTTATGTCA